TTATTCTTTAAGATTTACACAACAAATACTAAACACTGGAGAGAAAGCTCAAGAGACTCTCATTAGATATATCTATATAAGAATACAAACATATTATATATAGGAAGATCCAACACTTTGAAAATTAAAATCTTTTATTTTAAAACAGAAGGCATATGTAGTCAATACTATTAAAACACCAGAGTTCAACAACATCTTGAAAAACTTTTTAACATTGTTGGCTGTATTTCACTTCTCAGGAAATAATCCCTTTTTTACAAAAACAAACAAACCAAAAAAAAAACAAAACAAAAAGAACCACAACTTCCAATTATATTCTATGTTGTGACAGTTGGACTTGACATAGTATAAACACTTATCCCTCCAGACATCTATTTTTAAATGCATTGTCCTATCTATAAAATTTTAAAATAGAAAGAATATAATTCAATTACAGTTTGCTGAAACTCCTTTATTTTTTTTTTCCTTTAGCTTCTGTTGTTTTTTGTTTCTTCTCAAAGAAAAACCTTTTTAAAAAATCATGTCTTCAAATACAACAAATGTACCAGTAAATGTCAAAAAGGGGCAACGAGAAATATTCACAACCTTAAAAAACAAAAAAGCTAAATATCTAGAGAACTCTTTTTCAGTATTCATAGTCTTAAAAGAATGTGCAGAGTACCTTCCAATTTAGGCACTTGTGCCAAGCATTTCATCCAATAAGCTCTGAGCAATTATGTAATAGCTAGAAATAAATTACGCAGAATTCAGAACTACTGCATAGTAGACGTTATGCAAGACAAGTGAAAAGGCAAACTGTCATCTTCTGCAGCTTATGGGACAGGAATTGTTATGACGCAAACGTATTCCCCAAACTGTGTCAATTATGTTTCTATTAGTGACAGTTTGGATATTTATTTTTTTCTGAGACTTCATAAGTGATCTCTCACCACAGACATGTAGCAGGCACTGATTTGCAGGCACTTCCACTCTAACTTCGAAAAGCTGTTGTTGATGTTGTTATCTTCTCCTGATCAGAAGCCTATGGTTTAAATTTTGCTTTAAATGATTTTCTGCATACACTGTCAAAAAATGACTAGTGAACTATTTTTGTAAAGTTAAACATTGAAGAATATTATTCTTCATCACTGGCAAGAATGCAGCTTCTTTTTTAGTTGTGCCTGGCATTATTGCGAGAGCAGACCCCTAAAACATCTAGTCTAGTTTCATAGGCTAGCTTCTTTTCATCTTTGAATACAAAATCTCACTTCTGTGCTTCAGAGAGCACGGCAATCTGCACCCTCTGCCAACTTCATAAGTATTAATTCACTTAAAACAAATTCCCAACACTAAGGATATCAATAAAACCCAGAATCAAGGCATAAAATTGAAAAGACAGTTACACAATTCTGTGTGTGCTTGCTGCCCTGGCTCACTGTTATACATCCTCACATCAGCCTAATTCATTTGACACACAGTCTCCCCACAGCCGAGAAATCCTAGCTTTCTTACTAGATCTTAGGAAAAGCTTAAATACAAAACCTCCTATGTTTAAGTAATGTTAAGTTTGTGACACAGATCAACAAAAGGCAGGAAATTCAAAGATAACACTGACACTCCATGCTTAATTCATGATTGTTTAACAAAAGAGCCAAATACTATGAGTAACTAATGTCACTCTGTCTGTGTTCTTGGGCAAACAGGTGTTTATCTTGGAGATTATACAAATTCAGCCTCTCCTGTCAGTCTATGTAAATGCTACTGATTATTTAGTGTTTAACAATATGTTGGATATAAAGAAAATTTAAACTCTCATTCAACAACTTAGCATATTACATTCTAACAAAAATCTAATAAAAATGGACTTTTTTTGAAATTATGCTGGGCAAGCATAAATTAAAAAAAATCATCACCCTATAAAGTTCTCAGAAGTTATCAAAATAATATAGTGCAAAATGGAGAAATATATATATATATTATTCATGAATTGATAACTTTTAGCATCCACTCCTATTTCAGTTCTTCTTTGAACCCTCTTTTGTCTTTTTGTGTAATATAACCAAACATATCTCAGGGTAGCAACTTGTCAGAGAAAGTAATGATGCCTATTGCTATATTATCACTGGATAATCAGAGGATTTTAACTATCAGGTTTCAAAGTACATTTTGGTACTTTTATATTTTTTGAATATTAATTGCATATTTATGGCATGTAAACATGTCTAGTTATTTTGCTCATTGCTTTGCTGTATAAAGAATAATAATAATAAAAAAAGAAATTATTGCAATTATGAAGGTCACATATCATAGTCTTTCCTAGAGTACATGAAATTAGATCACATGAATGTGCCTATACATTAAGAGCAGGGCAACGTTTACACTTTCTTCTTTTTTATAAAATTATTCTTACTATTCTTTCTGTAATTATGTTATTTCTTAAGTACTTCCTGCTATCTCAAGCAAATTTAAGTTGTATTGGAAATTAGAAATATCAGTTTTTATTTTCTCCAGTTGAACTGCTAAGCAACCATAAACCAGCACCAGCAATAGCCGGGTAACCACTTTTGCATTACCAGCTGAACAGTTTCAAAGAGAGTTTTTGAAACCCCACATCTTCTGTACTTCATCAAACTGCAAGGAACCAGCTCACCAGTCCTAGGTATGTTTTAAAAACCCACAGAAAATATCTACAGTAACAATTAAAAGTTGGTGTCAAGACTGCAATATCGAAATCAAAAACAAAACCATGACGCTTAATGTATCTTCACAAACAAAAGAAATGCATTCATAGACTCAGGAGTATTAGGAACATCAAACAAAAGAATGAAGTCACATACGGCTCTACGCTCCCACTCAAGTCATGGTCTCACACATCTCTGGACACAACTTACCCACCTTCTTGTGAAACAACTACGAACTGTGAAGCTGCAAGTCTCTGTAAGACCAGCAGAGACCCAACTAAATGATTCCACAAGAAGCCAGGCATACACTTTTTAGCTGATTTCATCTACTTGCCACAAACACAAAGAGTACACGAGGGTTTGAAAGGGCTCTGAGGAAGAGAATGGCTGTTCTTTTCCTTTGTGGAAGGGGGGCAGCTTCTTTGATAAATGAAGTTCAACAACAAACTGAACTTACAGCACAGTAAATAGTGCTTACAATTTAATTTAAGGCAGGATTTTAACTTCCAGACAAAGCACAATCCTACCTCACTATATGGTTCATTTTGTGTTCTTGGATATCATGAGCAGATGAGTACAGTCATCACGCTGGTGTGCTGAAGAGTATAATGATAATCAATTGGTCTTAAGAACCATATAAAAATCAGTCAGTATCACAAATATTTTGCTGGATTGCCTACTGATCCTTACTAAAATTATCTAATTTTATTGAAAAGTAAGACCCTGTCAACTAAAATTTTTTTCAGAAACCCAGTAACTGAACGCAATAATGCTGAATGACTGCAGAATCCAATACATCAGTGACAGGTAAGTATTAATACACAGAAGTCACCAGAAGCTCAGGTTACATGAGTAGGGTTGCAATTATCATCTAAATGCGACATATGTTCTCTGCTTATTCATTCTGTGAAACGCACATTCCGCTTTTCATCTACCTTGGAACATTTCCTCTCTCCCCTCATTTTCTAGTAAGCAATTTTTTTGCTTCAGTTCTTCAGTGTGTGTTTTCCTCCTCCGAGAGAAATCTTGTTTTTCTCTCACTAACTGCAGCCAATGAATGGTGAAATAATTCTGAGAATACCAACTCTCAAGTTGTGGATTCTATTCTTTCCATTAGAATAACTTTCACATGGGTGCCAAAGTCAGTATGGATAAGAAGCAGAGCTAGCAGATCTATAGTACACAAAGAGACAGTTTCACTTAAAAATATATCCAATACCTCTGATGTAATAGCAGTGAAAAGAAACATCTGCACTGTCCCTTTGAGTTCTGTGGGGAGAATACCCTTTCATGAAATTCCAGCAGATTATTGCCATTCACAGATTCAGAAATTCACTGTGGCCAAGTAATAGAAAGTCAAGAAAATCTACATTTTTAATTTTGACAGGATCTATTCTGCTCATGGAAGTATAAACAACTGTAGATAGAGAAAATGGTGCTTCTGGCCCACTCTCCCTTGTGTTCAAATCCTGAACTCTGCGGAGCAGTATACCCTTGAGCACCCATACAAACTGCAGTAAAGTGTAAAATCTGAAGGGAAAAAGACCACTGGAAAGGTAATTTATCACTTTGACATAGTAATTCTTTATAAAAGCTATGGGGTAAAAAGTTAAAACAAAAAAGAGTGAATGAGAATCGAACAACTCAAAATGAACAGCTTAAAGATGTAAAAGTTTGTAAGTCCTACCAAAATTTTAATGTCTAAGTGGGAGTTTGACATTTGAGAATACGATTTTACTGCAGAAATAAATGTCTTAATTGAAAACAGTATGTTATTTGCAGAAAAAAAAGAAAACAAACAACTACCACACAACAAAACACAGTACCCTTAGTACTTAAGTACTAGTGTAAGTACTTACAAGTTTTCTTGTACTGAGTATGAATTATGTTTCTCTATTTGGTCTACCAGATAGAAAGCATACTTCCTAAAACGCTTCTCTCTTTTCTTAATCATAAAAGCATCTTTAAGGGGATCACTGTGTTCATTTAACATACATGCCCACAAGAAGCAATCAATTCACTCATCATTGCCTGAGTGTCCTTTCACAGCACCTTAAAATGCACATTCCCTTTTTGATTCTCTCTCAAATGCTCTCCAGATTCACAGGACAATTAAAAGGACACAAAACCAGACTACACAACAAATGCCAGTTCAAATAAGCAATACTTCACAGCACATACATATATAGTGACTTTCATATTTCTTAGCACATATCTTTTCAAGCAAGTAAAACATGTCCTATTTTTATGGGTATATGTTTTGAAAATGTGCATTTACACACTTCCAACAGTTTTAATAGAGTTCCTATACAAACCTAGTGGAGCAAAAATGTTACGTACCATAGTCAGTGATCTTACACGATACCAAATACAGTTCTTTCAGGTTCTGTCCTTCTTTGGCAATCACCTCCACACACCTGGAAGACATACAGAGTAAAATCGCAGTTAAAGAACAGTAGGCAAATTTTAAAAAGGAAGAGTTCAATCCATAGCTGCAATATAGCAAAGCTCAATTTCTTTATTCTGTAAATTATTCCACACAATCCCACACTGAAAATACATATGGCAGCACGCAGGCACATTAATGAGTAATACACTGGAGAAAAACATTATTTTATATTAAATGCTTCTATATCAGTATTTCCATAAGTTTTTCAACATGTGAATTGCTTGAATATATACAGAAAAATCCTTTGGAAAATAATACATAATTTCCATTTACAATTTCCATTTATGTATTAACGTGTAACTTTGGAAAGTTTATCTTGCAAGATCTAAGCTTTGAGAGTTCTCTTCTAGAAAAAACTATAAATGCATTGTAATGGCAAAGAAAGACAAGAAAATGCTACTTTAAAATCATGTTTACATTTCCTCAGTGATTTCTGTAGGAGTCAACATTCATTAGGACATTAAATATTACATGTCGTTGTTCTATGGTATACAAGCTACAGGGAAGGTTGAGATTGGGTGTTAGGAAGAATTTCTTCACAGAGAGTATGAATTGGCTGTTCAGGGAAGTGGTGGAGGCCTGGGTGGTATTTAAGAGACATGTCAATGTAGTAATGAAAAACATGATTTAATGAAGGAACTCAACAGGTAAGGCTGTTGGTTGGACTTGGTGATCTTGAAGGTCTTTTCCAATATTCATGATTCTATGAGTCTACAGAAGTCGTATAGGTGAGAAGATAGCTCATTTGATTGCCTCATCACAACTGTGACAAATTTTCAATGAAACATGAAAATTATTGATTTCATGTAAGAAAAAAAAATAAGCAAGAAAAACAGTAAGAAAATTTAAATTCTTATAAAATAGTATATAAAAAAATAAACTTTTGATGAAGTTTATATGGAAGTATTATAAGCACAACTGTTGTGTTTATAAATGCCTTCTTGACAGTGCATCACTCCAAACACCAGTTCATAAAATACATTTTAGTCCCATTAATATAAAATATGTCACTTGTTCCATTAGATCAGCAAAGGTGATGATTAGGTTAGTCTCTATGCAGAGATATCTTAAAAAGAGGATTTTATAGCATAAATCATAAGAATTTCTTCTGATCTTGTTTCTTTGTTATCTGATCCTGATAAACCATTTAGTTTTCAGAGTGATTCAGTCACAATAATCTATTCTGACTCTTCAATCAACCCTCCTACTGTACACAAAATTAAATTACTTCCTAATTTTGGAAAAAAAGAAAAAAAAAAAAGAAAAAAAGGTCCTCCTGAATTTGTCATTAGTTTTTGCAAAATACATCTACACCCCCTAGGGCCCTTTTTATCTCCTCTGCTACTACTAAATTATCTGTCTATCTGATTTTACTGTTCGCGCTGCCAATTTTAGATTTTAAAAGCAACCTCTTAATTCTTAAAGATTACAAAATACAATTACTTAATCATAGCCCTTCAGACGTATTTGTCCTCTGCCTTCTTCCTTTTAAAATCTAGAAGTGAAATTGACTGCTATTAATAAAATATAACGCCTCTGAAAGAGTACCTTAGTCACAGTTTCTTTATCATTACCACATATTTTCAGAAGACCTTTGAAAATTTTGTGAACCAAGTATTTAGAAAATACTGGCAATGCTTGTGCTCAAAGTCAGATCTTTTTAGTTTACAGTAACACAGAAAAGAGTATTTGACACAGTCCATCCTGATCCAGAATAAAAACAGAGTCAACCATCAGATTCTTCACCCTTTAGCGCAGATTCTCTGCTGACAATTAGCAAACATGACAATTATTTTTCTTTTAGGAGTCATGCCAAGAAAACAATGGTTTTTAACAACTACAAAGTACATAGAAAACGTCTTTTGTTCCTGTAAAACATCATTTTGATAGAGACACTAGTCTTTGTTAACTGGCCCATAGTGATTCCTTCAAACAGTGTTGGCTTTAAGCATCAGTTTTTTTTTCAGATGGCTTGACTGTTTCAAACCTTGTTATTCGCTATATATTAGAGTCTGGACTTAATACTGTTCATTTCCTCTTAAATGGAAAAAAAAAAAATTAAAAGCCACCAATCTTTCACAATCTTTAGCTAGTCTCAACAGGCAGAAAAAATAAGCAAAAAAATGTAGCTTTGAGTATCTCACTTCTTATAATTGTTTTAAAGACACTAAAATCACCTAATATCTAAAGCAAAGAGGCAATGATATTTCTAGTTTGGAAATGAAAAGTGTTTAATAAAGCTTAAATATGGAATATACAAATTTCTTCATCAACCTGTAATAATCTACATAAATTGTACTAAGTTCAGTTTTAATTTCCATCATCCCTTCTATGGATCATCCATATGTACATTAACTTACAGTACCAAAAGTGGCAATTTATATCATCAATAGCCTCTGCTCTGTGGAGGGTCACACAATACATAATTATTAGTAACTGATGCTTTTACAACATATGGAAAAATAAGAACAGTTTTATAGTTATTATTTTTATCTTTTTAATCTTTGTTAAACATGACAGGAAAGAAAAAGGGTAAAAGAACAAAATGATATTAACCTTTTCCAGAAAGCAAGGATCAAGTCATGATAATTCTGTTGTTATAATCCATCAAAATTATATCCTATGATTGTCACATCTATCTTTTGAAGTACGTATGTACATTTTGTTGAATTAGACAAATCTAAGGTGGCATGTGTATGTGCATGCTTTTTAAGAGTACAAATTTTAAAAATACTCATTTTCTTAACGTTTGTAATACCGAATGTAATACCTAAACCCGAATAAAATTCCAGGTAAAGAAAAAGTCTGATCTTAATAAATCAGAATAATACTGGTAAAAAGAAGTAAAGTTACTATTTGAAACAGTAGCAAATGATGAAGTCATGGAAAAATAGACAAACGAAGCCCAGAAATGCTTGAAGACTAATCCATGCCTGCCAGAGAGCTAACATGATGTTAACTGCTGTGTTCCAAGGCAGAGGAAAAAAGAAGCTTTTTCATTCTCTTAACTGAAGGGGACTGAACAGATTTTTTTTCAGTTCATTAAATCAGTTTTAACTGAAAAAAAAAAAAAAAAAAAGATTAAGTAAGTAATTTACAGGGAAAGAGACATTTCTATTATATTTTTCCGCCAAATGTATTAAAATGCAAACATTCTTCCAGGAAGAAAAGCAATTTTTACACTCAAAATAAATTACTAGCAACGATCCAAGGGCTCATCAGCCAAGGGCTAGGAAAATAAGACTAAAATTTGAGCTTGGAAAGCATGCAAGTATGAATATATACGAGTTGACTAAAACACAAATCTCCTCTTTTTAAATCAGTGTTACTTAGAACCATATAAGACATGAAAATACGAAAACATGAAATACTTTAGAAAGGAATTCCTAACTCATTTAAGCTGAAATATTACCTAAGGAATTCTTATGATAAGTTTTTCCTCTATGCACTAAATATTTGATGAAGGCTGTTCTCTGATAGACTGATGTGCAATTCAGTTTTATTGCATTTGATTCTAAGAGTAAGAAATTAATATCACACACTATGCAAAAGTGGAATAGCAGAAAGTGATTTCACAGACAAAAATGTCAAACAGTATTTCAGAGACCAAGCACATAACTAAAAACACACATATGTAACGCTAACTTAAATTAGAGCTACAAGACTGCAGACGTTTGTAGACAACTAGAACTCGCTCACTCTAATTTTGAATGCATTGACACTGCAGCTCCCCAAAGTGCAACTTATATTCCCAGAATGAGAAAACTCTTAGTGTAATAATTTCTTGCTGTTTGAAAAACCAAGCAAATTTCAAGCAGTAAATAGTACTGAAACAGTGCTGCTAAAATTCCAACAATTTATTTCAGGGACAAAACTTTCAATCTGGGTTAGAGAAACCATACAAACTTACACCAATTGCAAGTAAATGAATACCAGACCAAGCAGACTACATTCATGAACAAAATCTTACAGGCATAAAACTCTTCTGTAAACAAGTTTCTTCTGCAAAAGCAACAAAACTGCATGACTGAGAAACTGACAAGTTTACTGATGACTTATAACGTAGGCCTATAATCTCGCTGGCTCCCACATATGCATCTGTACAATTGATTCACGAAGTCAAGGTTGCTGACATTCCTTTTAGGCAAGAGCCTAAAAACAGAAAAAAATACGATCAAGAAGAAAATGAAGCACTCAGAAAGTACTGCTCTTTCCTAAGCCAACTGAGCCTTACATTTTTTGACTTGCTTGAGGTTAATGAATTAAACTATGAAACTTCCACCTAAAAGATTCAAAAGATTTTTGAATAATGGTAAAATAATTAACACACACAATGTTTATTTTTGGTCTGTTTCTAAAAACAATGGAAAATCATGTTTGTGACAACTGAAAGGAGCTAATGAGAAAACACGACTAGTATATTTGTTATGTAAGTGGTCCTGGGAGACCTTGTTATAGTTCAAGATGTTCTCCATCCCTGAGTGAAACTAATTAGAGTTGCCATACACTGGTTAAGAGATCACAACTTGAGGAAGTGATTTTCAATCACTGTACAAGTTTTTTTTTTAAACTTCTATAGACAAGAAAAAGAAAGGTAACACTGGAGACATTAACACACTCCCTTGGTATGATTCAAAATGAACATCAGATTGTTTATATGGCTTCTTTGCATTTGATTGGCATAATTTCTCTCTAAGCAGAAAAGTGAACACTTCACTACTTTTCAAAGCATAACCACAACTGGGAACCAAAGAGATCCAGCAAAGAACGAGAACTCTTAAATATGTAACAGAAAAACAGAAATCTTTCAGAAAGAAATAGACAGGCTGCTGGCTACCTGGTCTTGGTTTGACATTTTCTTTTATTTATCAACTTATTTACATTGTGAACTACAGTTCAAAATATGTGCTTTCTGATACTTTACAAGAGTGAAAGGTGTGATTTAACTTGTCTTTACTTCTTACACTG